CCACGGTCCCTGCCTGGCTCCAGGTGTCCCGTCTCAGGGCTGTCCCATGCCAAGGGACACTGCTGTCCCCAGGTCCCATCCTCGTGCCTCACGCCATCCCTCTGGCCCAGACAGCTGTCCCTCTCGAGGGGTCAAATAGCCACCATATGTCACTGCTGAATCCCTCTCATTCATGGGTCTTCCTCCAACCACCCACCTGTCCTCCCGCTCCCCCCAGCCAGACTCTCCCACCCTGGGGAAAACAGCCCCTTGTTGACAACCCGAGTCCACCCTGTTCCCTCCACGACACAAGTGGGGACAGCCTGGCTAGTGCCACCATGCAGGGGATGGAGGAGCATCTTCTTGTGTGCCAGGGATGTTCCCGGCATGGGGGTGACTCTGGATGGGAGAGCCCCCAGTGGCGTTTGTTAACGGAGGCCTTGCTGGGTGAATCCTTCCTCCAGCTGCAATTTGAGGCTGGGGACTGGGAAGGGGAAGGGCTGTGTCCAAGTTATGGAGCAAGGGAGGCCACGGCAGGGCAGAAATGCAGGAGATTTTGTGCTGGCAGTGGGGCAGAGCATCAGCTGAGTGTAGGCAAGCAGGGAGGTCAGGGCACCCAGTACGGTCGCTGGACTGGAGGCCAGCAGACTGGTGTGTTGGGGCATCTGATTTGGTCCCCAGACTGGGATCCAGGCTCAGATCCAACAGGCTACAGCCACTAACACTAGTATCCCCAGACTGTGATCCCGAGAACTGGTGTCTTGAGGCTCCCACTTTGGTCCCCAGACTGGGATCTAGTGGACTGGTGGCTTCTCACCCACCAGCATATCTCTGTTGATACCTGTCCCACCCCAGATCAAACCTGGCACAATAATTAATAATCAAAATACATTCCCCAGCCGGACTTTAAACCTCCATCATTATCCCGACTTCCTGATGGGGAAACTGAGGCACAGAAGCTGGTGCCTGGAGCTGCGGGGCTGAGAGGCGAGGCAGGGTCCAAGGACACCAGCCCTTGTGGGGACACGGTGCTGCAGTGACATGAGCAGTCTCATCCCATCACCCTCCCAACCCACCAGCGAAAACTGGGTGAAGTGACGCATATGGGCAAGGAAGGTGCTGTCAGCCAGTCCGGCCACCACTGCTCCCATCCCAGCCAGGGACAGACAGCAGGACACCGTCCCCCATCCCTCCCCACGGGCTGGACCTAAAACCAATCCCGAATCCCCAGTAGGCTGAGACATGGCTGTGCAAAGCTACCAGCTGGTGGGGACGGGGTTGAAGGGACAGGCTCTGCCGTGGCCCCATCTCGGCCGAGCAGCTGTCGTTGTCCCAAATCTCCGGCGAGCAGGCACGTCGGAAATCCTGGGTGTCGGAGGAGAGGTCTGCTCCGCATTCCTCGGCCAGGAGCGGGGAGAGGGCCAAGCATCTCCCCGCCGCCTGCAGCTGCTCCCAAATATGTTATGACTTGTCACCGCGGCAGGAAGGGATGTCGGCAAGCCTGGAAAGTGAGAGGGGATGTGGGCAGCGGGGTGCCCAGGGGGACTGGAAGGTGGGTCCGGTTGGAAATGGCATTTTGGTGGGACCCCTTTCTTGTGCTGAAATCCCAGAAGGATGGCGTCTTTGCTGGGTCCCGGCCAGCCCCAGTTTTTCTCACCAGTGGTATGATGCCTGCACCATGGGGGTGTAGATGCTGCCTTCACCACCCAGCTCACTTCACCAGCCCCTAAAACCTGCTGTTTTTTCTGCCTTTTCCAGTGGAAGGAGCCAGCCAACACCACCCCCACCAGCACTGCTCCAGTGCAGGGACTTTGCAGCTCTGTGCACCAAGCAGGGACATGCACTGGGTGCGTGCAGCTCCACGCACCAGGCAGGGTTCTGCACCGGGCTGCAACATGCTTATGTGCTTCCCCAAAACTCAGCGAATCAAGACCATTGGCCATGGTGGGAAAGCAAAACAGTCGGGACAGCCCCTGGGCACCACTCTGCGACCCTGAGCTGTGGGTCTGGCCATTGGCTTGGGAAGCTGCCCCGGAGGAGCAAGGACAAACCCTCCTCGCTGAGATTTTCTCAATGGATGGGTATTTTTAGCTCGGGCCTCGTGGCTGCCCGTCCCCGCCGGCTGTG